AAGGCACCTCTCAAAACTCAAAGGTCACCGTACAGAGCAGAGATTAAAAACAACAAAGTAACAAGACGACGATAAAACACAAATGTACAGGATGTAAAGGAGTTATGAGAGCGATCAGACTGAATGTGAAAGTTTCTAAAAAGATGTGTTTGAACTGTGTTTTGTCTTTCGATGACCCGACACACCCCGATGTCTTCCTCCGTAGATCTGAAAGTTACTCTCTCCGTTCTCTCTGTTTCTGTGTTTCCTCACTGCAGTCGGGGTGAGGCCAACGTGACGAGCATGCTGGCACCGCAGGCCGATCGGGTGATGGCAATCGGGGAGTGGGAGGAGCGCTGGCAGGAGGACAGGATTGGTTTTCATCAGCCCAATGTACACAAGTAAAGTCTTCATTTTTATATCCACCTCCTCAGTCCTCAGTGGGAATACGGGAAAGTCTTGAATTACACAATCGATCCTCCATTAATCCCATAAAAATGTCAGAACAGCTGCATCAAACCAACACGCTGTTTACAAAGTAACTCACTTTAACTTTAACTGTCTATCTATGTGTTCACTCATCCAGTCACTGCACAATAAGAACTGTATTTACTCTGTCACTGCACCATAACTTCACTTATTTGCACTATATCTCTATATTTATATTTGTTTAATTAATCAGTCACTGCAAAGTAAGAACTGTATATATTCTCTCAGTCACCACAACTGTTTATTTATTTATTATTATTATCATTCATTCACTGAACAGCAACTGCATGGGCCACTTTTTACATATTTCTCTTTCATATCACCACAAATATATGTTTGTTGTTGTTTTTGTGAACACTTATGTTTAGGATTGCTGCTCATGAAGTTTCGTTGTGTCCTTGTATACAACGATAATAAAGATTCTATCTATCTACATAAGGACACTCAGCTTTAGATTCAGAGTGATTTCAGGAAGTCTCAGGAGTTTAAAGTGACTGATTATTGAATATCTGAGTGAACAGTATTCATGTGTTTCTGACAGGATGCTGGAGACATACATCGATAAAGTCACCGTCGGGCGGGCTGGAGTTCGCTTCTTCTTCCCTCTTTGTGGGAAAGCTTTGGACATGAAGTGGTATGCAAGCTGTACTTGATAACATTTGTTGTTGTTAACATTTTCAGTTGTTCTACGTGCTATAAAAAGACATTTTCTCAGGGTTGATTAACACGTTTGTGTCTGACTTTCCTCCTCTCCCTGTGTGGATCTCAGGCTGGCAGACATGGGCCATTCGGTGGTGGGGGTGGAGATATCTGAGAAGGCTATAAAGCAATTCTTCGAGGAGAACAATATGACTTACAGCGAGGAAGCTGTCCCTGACATACCTGGAGCAAAGGTTTACAAGGTGTGTGGATCGTACACGAGGGAGGGATCGAGATCTGTGTTTTTATTGTTACTCCTGAAATCTGCATTAAAACCAAACCCAACCAGAACTGATTCAAGACTCACTCAGGTTGATTCAATTTGCAAAAGCATTTTTTTAATCAATTTTTTATTTAGTAATGTACAAAGAAATAACATCATATATGAATTACACACTCCCCACTTAGAGCTCACATATACATGTACAAAAGTGGATTTGTGCAAACGTCAGGATCAATTCAATTTCAAACCTTCCCCTCATCCTCCCTAAGGCTGCCCCACACAAACATCCTAACCCCAGATCGTCTTAAGGAAAATATAGAAAATAAAAACATGATTAAGGTCAAGCACACTGTCCTTAAATAGATTGTAGGCGGCATTCCACGCTTTGAGGGTCTTAAGGCTGGCCCCATGCATTGTAGTGTTACATATGTACAGTATGTAACACTACAGTATGTAAGTACTCCTTTGTCCCGTCAATGAAAGAAGAAGATCAGACCTTCCATGTTGAAACAGTTAATCCATCCTGAGAGTTAAAGACATGGGCAACATTAGTAATCCACATCCTCTTTTTCTTCCACAGGGCTCGGAGAGAAATATTTCCCTCTATCAGTGTGACCTGTTCAACTTCTCCAGGTGATTCAACTGCTTCATGTTTGTCTGTCTTGTACTTTTTGTTTTTTCAAATGACTGCTACAGGTTTAATGTCTTCATGTTTCTTCTTCTCAGTTCTGTTGGGGGTCAGTTCGGGGCAATCTGGGACAGAGGATCTCTAGTGGCCATTAACCCACGAGACAGAGAAAAGTAAGAAGAGATTTGACACGACAAACTGAGATTTGATATTCATTGATCATAAGAGATAATGTAAGGTTAACATTCAAATTAAATTGGGATGGGAGTTTCTAATAACTTTTTATTTGCCTAATTATTTGTTTTATTGTTCTTCAATTTGTGTTTTTTTTTTCAAACTCTTTTTAACTTCTTTTAAAGTTATTAAGTAACATAATAGAATGAGACTATACATACGCTGTGTGTTGTGTTGCTTCATTGTCTTGTTTCAGGTATGCTGCTCTCATAACTTCCCTCATGGCCAAAGACTGCCGATACCTCCTGGACACACTGCTGTACAATCCTGAGTTATATTCCGGTAACTGTAAAAACATAAAGCACCATATGGAGAGCCAAACACATCATTAGTCTTAAGATTAGAGTCTGTATCTTGTGGTTTATTTGTCAATTTAAAATATCAGCTTGAGGTCAGTGTGTTTGTATTAGTTGAAGGAAATTGGAAAGTTATTGTGACTCAATTTTTGTCTTCTTTTAGGTCCTCCATTTCTGGTGCCTGATGAACAAGTGCAAAGCCTGTATGGTGAGTTTAAAACAAACAATAAACAATCACGATTGTGTTTCTTCATTTAAACATAAAACCAGAGGCGATGCTTGTCAACAGGCAAGGCAGGAAACTGCTCGGGGCCACATACCAGTAAGGGGCTCCCAGAGGGCAGAACAGATTTAAACTTAAGCCATTATGTGAAAATGTTTGCAATGACGGTAGGAAACCTCTTTAAGGGGGCCCCATCTGACAGCATTCACTCTCATCGCCCTGCCAAACGCTGGTTGCAGGGCCCCCTGATTGAGTTTTGCCTTGGGCCCCAACAGACTTTAGAACCGCCACTACATAAGCTTTAAATCAACCAAAATATGAACTGCACAAAAATACTACACGATGTGATACTTGAATAAGTAGTAGAAAGGATTTTATGGAGGCTGAGATGAACTTTCTGGTGAAAATAGTGAATTTCTCCTCCTCAGGGAACAGCTGCGATATCGAACTCCTGCAGACAGAAGACGTCCTGACCGAAAGAAACCGAGGCTGGGGGCTGGATTACCTAACAGAACATGTTCACCTCATCACTCCAAAGAGCAGTTAAACACTAATTCTTAAGTGTAGAGAGAAGAACAGATATACATACAGGTCCAAGGCCGTTTTCTTTTTAAACGCTTTGGCATATTTTTCATACAGTTGCATTTAAGGGTAAGATGAAGGTGCATGAATGAAAATGTCAAACAAAAGAGTCATTTATTTCATACATCTAAAGACGTGTAACACACAAAGATTTTAATGGCTGACAAATAAAAAACTTTTGCAATTAATCGTCTCTGTCTTTATTAGCACTTCATTAGTAGTTGTTGTGTATTAACAAACACAGTTCAGTTGCAGAAAGGTGCTTTTTGCGTCACAAAATTATATATTTTTATTTCAAATTAAACTTGATTGAAAAATTGTTTTTATAATACAGTTCAGACGTAAAGGCAAAGAGGGAAAAGAGATGTTCAGATGTTTAATAAGGGATTAAATTAAAGTAACATATACAGTATCTAAGGTTTTTATGGACTTACAATTTAGGCTTTGTTTCAACGTTTCTCTGAAGATACTTGAAGTGACTCTAATTTTATCTATTAAGTTTGTTTTTGTGTTTTAGGAACATGTAGGGTGCACTTTTCTAAAACCATAATTACTTTGTTTGTTTGTTTTGTTTGGATCCCCATTAGCTTCAGCATAGCGAGAAGCTATTCTTCCAGGGGTCCGCAGTTTATATTGTGACAATACATTTTACAAATTCACATTATATATTATTCTTTTCACACTACACAAACATTCCACAACATGTCTTTAATAAGTAAAAATAATAGACAATTGACATAAATGAGCAAAAGACAGACAAACACAGGTTCCTCTGATTTACAGCATCTAAGACATAACATGGTTACAAAAAAAATGTATATCAGTTTGTTTGTCTTTTAAGTAGAATACAAGTTTATCTCAAAAGGAAACACATAATTCTTCCCTCAGGGTTTAATATCTTGCAGGCTCAGACCTTGGACTTTATACAGGCTCATAGATTCTATGGCGCAGACCCAAAGTAAGTTCAGTTTTCATGGAAGAGAAACCTTTACAGGAAGTGCTTTGTGTAACAACATCTGGTTTTATATGACCCTTTAAATTACAAAATGTGTGTGGAGTTGACATTTTCAGTCAGGATCTAGGACTGTATACATTTAGCTGAAAGCCATTTAACAAGAACTTGAGTTTATTTCAGAACCTGGGATTTCTGAAACTCCGCAAGTAATGTGTCATTTTGTGTTTGTGTTTTTTTTTCTAAACAACTCTCATTGATCGTTATTGTGTCTTTAAGTCCAGAGCTGATGTTAAAACGTTGTCGTGTGTGTGTTTTGAGCTGTGTAGAGAGACATTAGTTCACAAGAAACCCAAGCAGAAGCCACAAATGCCGATAGTATGTGAAGGCGACACGTAAAGTTGCGTCGAGGCACCCTGCTTCTTTTCCATTGGCTGTTGCCTGGATACCGAGGCACTGAGACATGAGCACGAGCTGAAGTGTGGGAAGTTTTTGTTCACAGTAATGCCGAAACATCCCGAAGAGACACGAAACGTAAGGAAATGTTATTTAAGGTCAAATATAAAAACGTTTTGTGACAATTTAAAAAAAAGTGTAATAACCGGTTTTGGTTGAGCTTCAAGTTTACCTCAATAACCGTCTATAATGAAGGCCTATTGTAAAGTGCCTTATGAACATGTTAAAATACATCATTAAGTGACTCAATTTAAGGTCTATTTGAGATGAGATAAATACCTTTCAGGTGAGTGTGTCTCCTCCCGGCTGCTGGATGTGGAGTGATGAAGCACAAACAGTGGAGTTCATCAGGTGAGAGGAGGCCCAGGACCTCTCACAATAAATACACCTGCTGTTATCCTATATACAATATGTGTCATTTCACGATTTATTTCCTAGTTCTTGTCCTGCAGAGGAAGCTGTTCCGAGAGAAAGGAAGCAAACAAATTCCCCTTTCAGAGAGCTTCAGCTGCGGTCAGAGTGGTAAGATCAATCAAGGCCTTGGTCCGCAACTTTTAAATACATATACATACATACATTTATGTAGACTATATGTTAGTCCTTAGTGTTTATAAAGCTTTGTGTGAGATGTGTCCTGTGTTCTGTTTCTTCAGGTTGGCTGGTGTCTCTACATTGACCCACAGAGGGCGCCAAAGCTCCAGAAAGACCCTGAGCCCTGAACATCTTAATGCCTACAGGTCCTCAGTGATGAAGAGGCAAGGGGACCACGTCACCATCGATGATGTAAAACGCAAGTGCCAGGATGTTGTTGAACTCATAACAATTATAATGCAGGAAAGGATAAGTCAGCTGCTACTTCTGTCTGTCTATGAAATAATTGATAATAGCTGAAAATGATGTTGAGTAATATTTGTAAACATATTCAGTGCATAAACAGCAAGGGTAAATTGTTGCATACTGCATTTGTGATTTCTTGTTTTATTGGTATATTTTAGGATATGATTAAATTGATTATTATTATTATTATTGTTGTTGTTGATATTATTTATTGATTTATTTCAAAATTATTGATTTATTTTATTTTATTTTATTTTATTTTATTTTATTTTATTTTATTTTTATTTTATTTTATTTTTATTTTTATTTTTATTTTTTGGGGCGCTGGTGGTGCAGTGGTCAGTTCGCGTGCCCCATGTATGGAGGCTGTAGTCTCAAGCGGGCGGCCCGAAAAAGCCCCAAAAAAATAAATAAAAAAAATGTTTGATTATTTTTTTTAGAGACTTATTACAAAAAAGCAATTGGCAAACCGACTTCATTTCCTAATTTACAAACTACATGCTGTTATTTTCTATCAAAGGCGATGGTGATAGCATTTGTCAAGCCTTCTGAAAAAAGCTCTCTCTGTTGCAGAGGTGGCCGTCAGTTTGCTGCAGGAGAATTATTCCCTCCCAATCCCTCTCTGCTTCTTGGCTCTGTTGAAGTAAGGAATACGAAGACAAAAAATATAAATCACACAAACTGTTTACCTTGTTGTAGACAGAGTGCAGAGACAACTATAACACTACTAACAACTGTTTGTCTCTGTGTAGGAGGAAAGAGCTGGATGATGTCCTGACTGCACTTCTCCTCTACCTGTCATGTTTCTTTGAGCACAGATCGCTGGAGAATAAATCAGAGCTCCTATTAGCGTAAGTACACTGTTACACTATTTATTACCATCGTGCATCCTGAACGAGGGGGAACATGTCAGAGATGGGAACAAATAACTTATTGCAAGTCTGAGTCACGTCTCAAGTCCATGAAAAGTCTGTATCTGAACGGTCGTGTCTGACACGTGCATAATGAGCTAATGGTTGAGAGAGAGAGCGAGAGAGAGAGAGAGAGCGAGGGAGTGAGATTGAGAGAGAGAGAGGGAGAGGAGAGAGAGGGGGGAGAGAGAGAGCGAGGGAGTGAGATTGAGAGAGAGAGAGAGGGAGAGAGAGAGGAGAGAGAGAGGGAGAGGAGAGAGAGAGTAGAGAGAGAGAGAGAGAGGAGAGAGAGGAGAGAGAGAGAGAGAGGAGAGAGAGAGAGATGAGAGAGAGAGAGAGAGGAGAGAGTGAGAGAGAGAGAGGAGAGAGGGAGAGGAGAGAGAGAGAGTGAGAGAGAGAGAGAGGAGAGAGAGGGAGAGAGAGAGAGGAGAGAGAGAGAGATGAGAGAGAGAGAGAGAGAGAGAGAGAGAGAGAGAGAGAGAGAGAGGAGAGAGTGAGAGAGAGAGAGGAGAGAGGGAGAGGAGAGAGAGAGTGAGAGAGAGAGAGAGAGAGAGAGAGAGAGAGAGAGAGAGAGAGAGGAGAGAGTGAGAGGAGAGAGAGAGAGTGAGATTGAGAGAGAGGGAGAGAGAGAGGGAGAGAGAGGGGAGAGAGAGAGATGAGAGAGAGAGAGAGAGAGAGAGAGGAGAGAGAGAGAGAGAGAGGAGAGAGGAGAGAGGGAGAGAGAGAGAGAGAGAGAGGCTCCCCACCTTTGCTATCTTCATTTCAACTTAAGCTGTGAGTCTCCAGCATCGTTTCTTGTGTAAAGGTAAAGTTTATAATAATTCAACACCTCTTCCTCTCTTCCTGCAGCAGCTGCAGGTGATTCGCTCGCCAAGTCCAGTTTCAAGTGCGACACGAGTCACAGATTAAAAATCGAGTCCTCGCCTCTGCTTAACGTAATGTTGTGTTATTTTTATCCCACTTTATCATTATCTTTGACCTCTGTTTCCTTTTTTTTGAACTCATCTCTTCTCGCTCCATTCCAACGCAACATGCCAGTGACATCATCAAAGAGCGCCAGGTGACGGCTGCGGCTTTGGCCAAAAAGGCGATGGCCCAGAAGCAGCTGGCCGTCTGCTACTTCAGCCTGATCATGGACCTGGAGGTAGAGCAGCATCAACGCACCTCGTATCGCAAGTGAGGAATTTGTTCAGATTGAGAACCGTGAGGTAACCATGGAAACGTTCAGGCCTGTTCCTTCAGGTCAGAATACCTCTTGGTACTGTAGCGGCAGTTCATGTTTTCCCCAAGAGTGCAAAGAAGCCATCAGCGACTCTCAGCTGTCACTCCGACTCAGAGTGAAGATCTGCACGGAAGCGTCTCAGAGTTTGCTCTCAATAACGTCGCGTAACGTTTAACTATAAAGGAGCGATCTGCCAGAAACGTAGGCGTGCAGCTCCCTGATTCTGAGCTGAGGTGTGAGACCTGAAGCGCTGAAAATGATAATGACATGACATCCCCTTTTCCCCCTCAGGAGCCGGACGTCTTCAAACAGGAAAGAATGGCTTCTCCACGCGGTGGGTGCAGTGAGACTTTTTGAAATGTTTCTCTTACCTTCTCGATGTTCTACATTCTGCCACACCCACACATTTGCTTGCTTATATGTTTTCTTAAGTGCACTACAAATGTGCTGCAAAAAAATTAAATAAAACTGATTCTAAGGGTTATTTGAAATGTTTAAGAACATCGTGAGTAATGCCAATTAGTATCCTCACCCTCCCTGCATTCGATTTAATTTGACTCGCTCATGACATGAAGTGTATTTCCCTTGCAAAGCATTCATTCTGTATTGCGTCATCATCCCTTCAGCGTCAGGTCAGACTTGAAGGCCGGTTTTACCATCTGTGAATACAGACGGCAGTGAGCAGAACAGAACCACATTGAGTGCTGGGTTTTTTTTTTTTTTTTGCCGGTGGCCTTAATGAATAAGTTAGAGGTAGGAGATGTTGACTCAGTGCAGGTGCTTTGCTTTGACAGGCTTCCTCCTGTATTTAGCCAGGTGGGTGGATACAGAGCGATATATCACGCTAACAGCAGGAGCTTATTACCTGCCCTGTAAGTGACCTTTTAAAAAACACAGAGGAAGAAGTCACTGGAAGGTTATAGTTCAAAGAATCTGGGGACAAAATTGACTAATTTCTAAAGATCAAATTAGTAAAGGGACGTGTTCATTCGAGCGCTGACAAAGTGTCCCTCTTCTCTCCAGTGTTTCTACAGCTTCTTCTGTTACGTGGCCTGGGTCACATTCGGCAGAAAGGACCTGAAGGACATCCAAGAAGAGGTGGGGCGTCTTTTCTACTCCGACACCTTGAACACGTCAGTGAGGAACGGGGCAGATGGGGACCCAGAAGTGACCTCCTCTTCTGTCGATGGTTCAGTGAAGACGGGAGAGGCTGACCCCGAGGAGACGGGATCTAATCGGCCATTCAAGCGGCGGTATGTTAAAGAGAGGTGAAGGTCGTGTTGAGGTGGTATGTGTGGCAACTTCACTTTTACAGTGCATTTATTTTTCTATGAATAGAATAGTTTTGCCTCTTCGTTTAATCTTTTTTTTTCTTGTCTTTAGGATCATTTACCTTTTAAAATGATCCTTTAATGTTTATAGTCAAGAAGTACATTTTCACCAACTGTAACTTGTTAGCTGCTCATTTGATATCATTATAAAAACAGAGTGAGTGACACATTGAAGAGTCTTTTTCTGGCCTCATTTCAGTTTTTTCCATGTGTTGATGAGCTCTGACCAAACACTTACCCATTACATCGCCGCTTTCTATGATTCTGTCCGCCTGCCATACTATTTCAAACAGTAGGCTAAACATTTTGAAGCTGCTTAATGTTAAAGTTAACGTTATTCTTTCTGAATAAATGTGTTTTTGGTTATGTTGTTCATGCACTTGTTTTATCTTTTTGCAGCATGTTATTTTCATTTGTGTTTCGATCACTGATTTTGTTTTTTGGACTTTTCAATTTGTTTTTTAAATCAGCATCATTTCAGAATCAGCTGAACATTTTTCTAAATCTTTTCAAAGGTTGCTGATTGCTTGCTCTTGTCCGACACTGTATGTAGACGTTCTTTTTTGTTGTTTTATTTCAACTATTATTCCACTACCTGTAGCTGATGAGTGCAGTTAGCCTGAACTAAAGCAGTTAGTAAAGGAGTTATAGTCTTAAACACCAAAACAAGGCGCTAAAAGACTCTTACAAGAACCATACAGCTGAGGGAAAATGCACTAAGTACTAATCTACATTAATCTACTATCAGCCAGAGGCTCTGCTTGTCAACAGGTAAAGCAGGCAACTGCTTGGGGCCCCCTACTTGTCTGGGGCTGCCAAATATGTGCACATTTTGCAATGGTGGGATTGGAGACCTCCCTAAGGGAGCCCCATCTGACAGTACTCACTCTCGTTGACATGCTGAACGCTGGTAGGAGGGCCCCCCAATTGATTTTTGCCCAGGGCCACAACAGAGTGTAGAATCACCACTGCCATCAGCATTGAGCGTCCATATAGAGGAAGTCATTTGATCCATGGTTTATATTTATTGAAGCGCCTCAAAATAAAAGACTTCAACCTGCATTTGAAATATTGCAGAGTAAATAACTCAACACCTCCAGTAGTAAAGCTGTCAGTGCCTGATAGATATCATGTCAGACCTGCAACAGGAATATGATTAATGTCGACACATTTGTAGCTCCGTCCGACTGGAGGGAGTGTCTGACAGCCCGTTTTATGTTGCTGCTCTGTGTCTGACATCAGATTGGCAGTTGTGTAAACTGTCAGAGGCCCAGCGCTCTTTCCCTGCTGTCAGGTTTGAGAGCAAACGATCAGAGCTGGGCTCCAAGCTGGCTCTCCTCCTGAGGGCGGATGTACATGACATGATTTGGACTTGAGCTTTTCAGCTGCCTCGTAGAAAAAGATTGTGAGAGAAGAAAAAAAATCCAGGAGGCTGCAATAATATTTTTTGTATTAGTTCTGGATTAGCACCTGGGTCTTGGCCATTTGGATCCATCGCAGCTTTCCTGATTAATTAGATCTGGATATTTGCTTAAGTTTGACCATGAATACTATAGGTATGTATGACAAAAGGGAACGTGTGAGGAATGTCTCCTAGTGCTTACACAGCTGCTGTCTGACCAGGACTGATGTACCATAGAGAAACATGTTTAATATTATGATTATGGTAAAACTTAATAATGGGGAAATGTCCTCTTGACGTTTTCTACCTGTTCAGTATGAAAACATTGTGTAGACTAATCTGTACATAGATTTTTTCCCCCCAATATCTCTTTTGTTCACGTGTCCTTATTGTGTTAAAGCTCCTCTGAGGAACTATCAGTTTGTGTTGATTTTGGCGCCCCCTGTGGTCAAAGCTGTAACTTTCATTTCGTTCCAGTTGTTGTCCTGTATCCCTCGTTGTGAATAATTGCTTTGTAAAACGTGAAAAGAAAAAACTGTTTCTTAAGTGTGCTGTAAACCGTCAGCACTGACACCTATACCCTGCGCTAGGACTTACAGGCAACTGTCAAGAAAAAGTCACCATGTTGTCACTGAAGCTTTTTGTTTGTTGGTCCAAAAGAGGCATCATCATTAATTTCAGTCAGATTTATAACTAGTCAAGAACTCCTCACAGGAGCTTTAAGTACAGATGATCTGAGTGGCATATGATGAATTTCATGATTTAATGTCGAGTTTTTCCTTCTGTGTTTATGACTCATGACTTCAGATGAGATGTAATCCCTCCATGCTCTGTTTCCACAAGGACCTGAATATTATGTGTTAGCAGATTATGTTACATTAATGTTTTTTTTTTTAGATGGATAAATTAAACATTAACTTGCAGGAAACATGCACATGTTTGGTCCTATTTCAAACATCCGTCCTATTGAGACAAATTGCGTCCGTCCTATGGGACTCTGATGGCAGAAATTAGAAAACTTAACGCAAACTTTTTTTTTTTTCATCCATCAAAACCTTTTTTTTTGTTTACAGATAATTAAAAAAGATTGTGAAACTTGTAAAGTCTATCCTGACAAATAAAAAGTCCTTCTTCAGCTGGTCTCAAGCCTTTAACACAGGAGAGACGATAAGTCACCAGATGTTTTCTTCTGAATCGCTTCACAGGGCTTCCTTTTTTAATACACAAAAAGTTTGTTTACATTTTAGTTTTTGCTCTCTCCCTAGATCATGTCAGAGACGCCCGCCCCTCAGCTCGATAGCTAACCAGCGATCTCCACTGATGGTGTGTCTGCTGCCCTCGCCCAAAGATCTGTCACCTCACCTGTTCCTCGCCGGTCGTGCCAGGAGGCGGAGCCCGCTGCCGGCCGATCACTGTGACATCACAGCTCTGACTGAGGAGCTCAACCAGCAGCTGGCTGATGTCAGGTAGAGTGACAGATAACAGAGTTAGTCAGAATATCAGGCTCGGGGGGGGGGGAGCTTTGTATGATGACTACCAGGGTTGGGGGGTCACATGTTTATAAATACCTGTAACACTGAAACACTAGACTATTGAGATGATGTGCAGTTTATCAATATCTTCCCTTTTTTTTCTTTAGATTGTTTCTTTATATTCAGTTTGCCTGCCTTTTTTCCTACATCCATCTAGCACGCTGCAATGCTAATGCTAACAGTATACACTAATTCAGTCGCTGCACTATAACAGTTTATTTATTGACCCAATCACTGCACAAAAATTGTTATTTATGTCTGCTTATTTATAGCTACTGCCTCTCAATCTAAAACAACCTTCATTATATGTACATAACTTTGCATATATATATATATATATATATATATATATGACCAAGATGCTTCTGTACAGGATTGCTGCCAACAAAGTTTTGTTGTGTTCTTAAATACAGTGACAATAAAGCATCTATCTATCCTATCTATCTATCTCATTTTGACAATTGTTATACATGAAAAACTTGATATGCATTGCAAGTGTTGGGGACCTCCATCTAGACCCTTTACCCACCTAAAGAGCTCATGGATCCATTGACTTACACTTTAGAAATATTTGGAGATATTGTGTATTATTCATGTGTTTTTTTGAATCCAAGAAAAGCACAGAAGAAATAATCAGAAATATTGAAAAAAGATATTTTACCTTTCCCTTATTTTCTCTCCCTTCTGTAATATATTTATGAGTTCAGCCTCGGGATTCTTGGGAAGCCGTTGTGCCAGCTGAGCGGCAGCGATCTGATTCCCCTCGGAGAAAAGCAAAAACAGCAGTGATGAGGAAGGAGACCGTGAACCGGAGAGAAACATTCATAACAACAGCGAGGAGCACCTTGGCTGGTGGCAGGTCGTCCTCCACGGGACCCCCGAGTCGTCAGGCTCAGGCAGATGTGACATCACCACCCGCATGGAAATTAAAAAACTCTTCACTGCACCACGGAGGCAGAGGCCTTGAATGACTTGCATCATGTTTATGTGTTTCCTGTGACGTTGTGTGTGTGTGTGTGTGTGTGTGTGTGTGTGTGTGTGTGCAAATGAATTCCCCCCGCTGCACAGCCGACACAGTCAGAAGCACAGAGACAAACTCAGATAGCATTCTGTATCTCTCCTTTCTAAATCGCCTCCCTGACTCTCATCACTCCCTCCATGTTTGTTTGGGGAATTGGCTCCTGAAATTTAAATCAGTGTCTTATTATCTGCCAGCTGGTGGTGCTGTTGAATAAAGTATAAAGAAATGCATGACAGCGTTGAAGATTTGCACTTTCCACTTTCCACGCAGTCTGGAAGATATTGAATTCGCATATGGAAATGCAGGAAGTCCACCACATTGTATGCATTATTCACATCTCATAATGTATTTTTGGGGAAATCAAATTATACAGTCTTAACACACAGTTGGTCATAGCTGTCATTTTTTTTTTCAATTTTAGATTCTTGAAGGCTACCTCAGTCGTTCTCTGTCCGTGTGCTGCCTCACAACAGGCTAACTGGTGTCACATTCTCACACACACGCTCTCTGTCCAGGCTTGGTAGCAGAAGGGACTTTGCCTTCGCCCTAATTGGCTGCGTAATCTGGGTCACCAGGAGCAGAGTTAAGCCCTCTGAGGAGGAGGAGGAGGAGGAGGGCCGGGGCGCCTGTGCATTAGGATGGATATATTTGGTTAATATAAGTGCTCTTGGTTAAGATGAGTGCCGTTCCAGACCCAAAAGGTTAAAGTCAAGCGCTCCCACGTTTTATCCAAATCTTGCTGGAATCATACCCCAGTTTCAGATCAATCAAGACCTGTTACTTTCTCCCTTCTTCTTCTCCCGTCTTGTGTCTGAGCCACTCCGTCTCTGCCTGTGGTCTCCTCCCCTTCGTCCCTCTAGTACACTGAGGCCAATACCTAACAAGCAGTCAGATACTTGACAAAGCAAAAACCTTTCCCCCCCCCCGACCTGACAGAATAATCAAAGGGCTGCTGACTTTGGAGCAGAGTTGATATCTGTAATCTATCTAAATGACAGGATCTTCACTCCTCCTTCAAAGGAATTGTTCAGTCATTGGGGGGGGGGGGAATATTGGAGATTATTGGTACCAAGTATGTACAGCACCTGACACCTGTAGCTGCTTAGCTACGCTCAGCATAAATGCCAGAAACAGCTGTGTGTCAAAAGGTGACATAACACCAAATACCACACCTATTAAGCTTAGTATCCATCACATAATATATTCTTAATGAGATCTGTCTAATTAATGGCACATGTTTACTTTAAGAGAGGCTCGTACGTTGATGATTTTTCTATTCTTTTTTCCTGGGTGTGCGCCTCATTTAATTTCTGGCGAGAAAGCAAACTACTGCTTCCCAACGTTTTGACCACAGAAACCTTATTGATAGCTTTGTGTATTTTAAGTTTGGTTGAAGCTGGATGGCTTCATCTCATAGTGGTGTCAAAAGTACAATGAAAGAAAAATGCTATTTTTCTTTCCATCAGTCGACAGAGAAGGATTTGATCCAAACTGTCCATGGGAGGGTCGTTGATCTAGGATCGCAACTTCCACTTGAAATTGTCCCTGAAGCCGAAATGCCGGGTTTCTAATTTCTACAATTCTGAGCTGGGAGAATAGTTAAAAAAAATCAGTGAGTGCACCTTATTCTCCCTTCACCCCCTTTACGATGTGAAAATGACGAATGAGCAAATGATGAATCGCACTGAAGTTGTTTTAAAAAAGAAGTTATTTAAGTCTAAGTCTAACTTCACAAACCTCCATACTAGTCTTTATTACACGTCTATGGGATGTTGGCCTCCATCTATAAGGAAAGTCACCCTTGTATCTGCAGAACTGCCTTGCTGTAATTGTGGCGAACACGGAGCCTCAGGAATTTGCCTTGGCAGTACTTTGTGATCAGGAGAGTTGTAGGGTTTACTGTGCACAAAGGGCAGACTGTTATAGGGTGGGATTAGGGGTTTTCAAAAGGGTTCTTGGATAATGCTGTTTTCCACTCGCCCTCAATGGATTCTAGTGAGCTGGAAATCTGACTGTGCGGTGGAACATTGTGTTGGCAACCTCAGCAGACCATTACATGGTGGGCTATGTGGAAAGATCACACCTTTTCAAATAAATTGAATAATTACAAATTTACCTCTCAATTCATGCATTAGGCTCACGTGTTTCACACCATTTAAAGTGTGCTAATGTCCGTCTAATGGTTTTTATTCATAGGAAATGAAAAGACTAAATATGTAGGCTACTTTAAAAAAAAGAAAAAAGAAGGCCTAGTTTGAAGTATACAGAGGCGTCTTTGTCCATACTTTATTTTTTTAAGACTCAGCTTTAAAAACAGCCATGTTTAGATTTGATAGAAATTCTTTTTCATTATGTTTCCACAAAACTCACTTCAACATTAACTTATCACTTTAAAACACTTCCACATTAAAGTATAATTTGGTTGAAACAGTGGAACAAATATTCATTGTGATGGTCGGGTTATATATGTCTGTTGGGTATCGTGCACTTTGGGTTCTTTTCTGTTGAATTGTATTTAATTATTTTTTTAGTATTTTGCATTTGTTATGTTCTTGTTGTTGTTTATGTTCTTCTGTGTTTGGTTTAGTTTGTTCTTGTTTTTGCTGTTTGTCAAAGCACTTTGTAAACCTGTGTTTTTAAAAGGTGCTATATAAATAAAGTTATTATTATTATTATTATTATCTAAAGATGACAGAGAGTGGAAACTATGGATGGATGATTAGATACGTTGGTGGATACATAAAAAAAAACACAAACATACAAAAATATAATAATAATAATAATACCAATAATAGGATTAATTGGCTGTAAAGGGATTGGCTAACAACTACAAAGCATGAGCAAAGTGTTACGTTTGAAGACTTGCAGACATGAAAGAAAAAAACAACTTTTTTCACAACAACAAAAAACAAACAATTGAATTATAAAAACTTAAACTCAACTCGAAATCTCCTTTAAATAGTTTGTTATCCTGTATGTTATTGGCGAAGTTCTTAGTTTGTACCAGCAGGGGGAGACTTCGTCCATAAATGTCAGAACTCAATGAGATCTTTCCAGTCATAAAACAAACGTTAACACCTTCTTGCTGTATCATTATTATTTATTATCATCTGGATTATGTGTCCTTTATTTTAACATACAATAAATGATGCTTATGAGTTTATGAAATGCAGCGGAAACAAACTAATCTCCGGTGATGATCGTTATATTGATGCACAGTAAACACGAGGCTTGACTGTAATTTACTTCAGTGATTGAATTAAAATCTCGGAATCCTCATTAGGGAGCAATTAATGATCATTATCTAGACGTGGAGATAAATGGACCCGGGTGGAAAAAAAAAACAATACAGCAATCAATAATCATTCTTATAATGACTTATTATGAGTCAGTGGACGACGTGATTTGTTTGTTTTGGTTGCTACGTTTTTATTGGCTTTTCTTTTTTTTTTGCTTTACTTTGAGAGAGAAAGAGAGGGGGGGAGAGAGAGAGAGAGAGAGAGAGAGAGAGAGAGAGAGAGAGAGAGGAGGTGGTGTCGTGCGGATTTCAGTCACACAAGCTGCGAGGACGACTTCTTGCATTTGAAGCGCGCTTTACATGTATATAGTTTGTCCAAATTTGCGCCAGAGAAAGAAAAAGAAGTGCCTGGAAAAGAGAGAAAGGAGGAGGAAAAAGGGGGGGAGGAATTACCAAAAACGCAACACGTATCCGGTGGGGATCCCACACTCCTGAGAGAGAGAGAGAGAGAGAGAGAGAGTGTGAGAGAGAGAGAGAGGCGGCGAGAGTTGAGAGCGAAGGGTGCGAGGAAGAAGAAGAAGAGGGTGAAACATTTTGACATTTTCGCTCGTAACGACGCGTTTTTATTTTGGGGAATAATGAGGAACGTTTGGATACTTTTGACCCTCGCGTTGACCGTCTTCCTCTCCGGGGAAAGGGTAAGTTTCTTTTTGGGTTTTCTTGCTGGAAAGCAAAACTTCAAACCGGGGGGAGAGCTTAGGTCCACGTATGGTCCACACACACACACACACACACACACACACACACACACACACACACACACACACACGCACACTCGCTTGCTTCATTTTTTGCAGTTTGCTCCGAGGAATAAACTCCATTTACCATTTTGCATGTTTCCACATATGTATCCTATTTTGTTCCAAATGTTGACATGACAAACAAAGTAGAACCGTTTAATTTGTTGAGTGTTTGTTCGGTGACGCTGTGACACTTGACAGGCCTATTGCTGCAACTTTTCACAAGTCTTAACATTTATTTTTTTATTTTTTTGCATATTAATGAACAGCTGTAACAATGTCAGATTACAGCGGAAGGGCTCGTTTCCATCTGTTGTCCCTAGACAGGTAACAGAGAAAGACAAATTACAAATAAAATACAAAGGCACAAGTGACACAAGACAATAATAGAGTTTTGTTTTTCAAAATAAAATACACTAAAATTAGCACCTGGCTTGTGGCTTAGATTAACATGAATGAAGGTGCTTCTCTCATCTTCTCATCTGAAGGTTGTTTTTTTTTTTAATAACGTGGACTGAACAGTGGATGCTTAAATACAGATTGCCTATTTGTTGCTTAAAAGTCTCATTGAAAGCCATGCAGCATATAAATTATATAAATATCACAGTAAACTTGGATGTTATGGACTGTTTTGACACCTTGAAGCATCAGATTGTGGGGTGAATGAGGAAACACACACAGTGCCTCTCTTACACAATATTTCAGTTACATTGCAGAGATTTTTTTTTGTCTGCCTTTGCTTCTTATGACTTATCTGTTTAGATCCAGGCACGTTCGGAAGAGATGACTTATTGAGTAAATGTCATCCTTATTGGAATCATGCGGCTCAGTAGACAGATAAATCTTTGTTTGCTTCTGTTCTGTTTTGGTCGTTGAGTGGATGTGACATTTATCCCAATAGGGCTCCAAACTATTGTATTGTCCATTTTTCCTTCTGATTTTTCACAAGTTTCAGTGTTGCCTCTCACACTTTCCTTGACTCTAGGTCTCAGTATCGAAGCCTCTGAGCTGAGTGTGCAGCGCCCTGCAAATTGGCCGGGTTGTGAGGAATGACAGATTTTGGCACTTTCATGTGCTGCTGCCCCCCTTGTCATCATTGTCCCCCCCCCCTCCTGTTGTTTCTCTGTGGGTTGTGACTTGTCGCTTGGCGCTGCGCCTGCTCCTCTTGTTGGAGCTGCTTGTCCCAATTAGCTGATTCAGACACTGTTGTTTTAATGACTCATTGTGTTTTTTTTTGCATGAGGTCAACCCAGGGAGTAGAGTTTTCACATGTTTTCTATTATTGTTTTTGCATTCTTTTTTTAAACTTTAACACCTGCAGTAACCATAACAGTAAAAAAAAACACATTTTCTAAGTTATTGCACTTTTTCTGCACATATTGAAGCATTAACATTCAGATAATCTATTAAGAGAAGGGTTGTCAGTCATTACTTTTTTTACACACACATTGTAACTTAATCAATATGTGCCTCTGCTTTATTCCTGTCGCCCCTGAAGACCTCACTAGAAGTGAACACATCACATTGATTCTCAGTATTGGCACCGCTGTTGACGAGTGGTTGAGAACCTGCTGCAGGCACATCTGTCTGTGTGTTTTTTAATTACCCCATCACATCACAAGGGGGACAGTTTGAAATCTCAGCGGATTTAAAAAAAACTTTCAAATGAGACCCTCAGCTCCTGGCTCTCAAGAAGTAATTATTTCATCACTGAACTATTTCTTTTTTGGTCACCCACAGCCTCACACTGTAATGTAAAACGGCTAGGATTATTCCTAGAAGCCATTTTTGACCATTGAGTTTATTTGAGTTTGCTCGCCCTCTCATCTGCTGTGACATGTGAGGTCCGTGCACAACGTCCAAGCTTTTAGTTGAAGGGAAACACAACATGCTTGTGTGTTTTTTTGTTTTCATAGATGAGATCTCAACATGTGGAAGTGGAACACCTTTTATTTATTTTTTTATTTTATATCTTCCGCTTCCAGGAAGTTTTCTAAACGAGGAGGGGGAGTTTGTGTATACGCTCATCCCGCCCTGCTATGTTTTCAGTACGGACCACTCACCAGATGTTGTGGTCTGTAATTTTTGTCATGTTTTGGTGGAAAGCGTGGGGGTGCTTTTCACCTCCCTGTGCGTCTGTGTTTTGCAGAGTGGCTCTGAGGTCTCTGGACCTTCAAGGACGATGGAGGAAAAAAGA